ATCGCAAATTCCCCAAGATCTATTGTCGTTGTGGTCATGGTTTTTGTGATATCAAAACCTCCAAGAACATTGGCCGCAACTATGGCCGGAGCTACTACGCCTGCCCTATTAAGAGAGTAATGTCTAACATCTCAAACTCCTTTTCTGATCAGTTCCCTTTTGTTTCTTCTTTACTGAGTTTGAAAATGTGGCTTGGTTTTTTCGGGGGAAAAAAATGTAAGGAGTTTGTCAAATGGTGTGATCATCCTGTTGATGAGAGCAAATTACGCCCTCCTCTTCATAAATACCCAATGTGTTCCTGTGGCGCCGGAGTGTGTAGGAAGGTAATAGCGATAAGTGGCCCCAGTCAAGGTCGCTATTTCTTTGCATGCCCTATCGGAGAGGTATACTATTTAAGTGTTCATGAATATGTTGCGTTTCTAATTCTTTTTCTTACTCTGCTTTGTACTTGTGTTCTGTGTGTGTTTGATAAGATTCTAGGTGTGCTTTTAATGATCTACGTATGCTGTTAACTATTGGTTTATTTATGATTTGTCCCGAGTTATGGCATTCACACCGTTGAACAGTTGAGGAATCTGAATCTGGAGTGACAGAACTGTGTGTTGTTCTTGCTTCTGAGTTATTTCGCAGTTTCACTCACTACTGTGTGGAATATAAGCATCAAAATAATATATTTATGAGTTTTCGCTACTCAAATCTAGATATTGTTCATCTGCACGGGATTCTCTGTATATGATAATCATTTACTGCACAATGGCCTACCATATACACCACAATTATGAGCCAAAGGCTCAGTAAATGTTTCTTGTGTCTTAAGAAACAAATGAAGATATCATGATCCTATTCCTAGTCGTTTTTCTGATGTTTATCCCGCTGTTAAAGGATTGAAACATGGTAGTAACAAACTCTTGAGATCTTATTTGATATGACTTTTCACTAAACACCATCTGTCCCTTGGTAGTCAAAGGTATTCTTTGTGGAATATATGTATTGTCTGACATAATTTTATATGAATATCACTTTAGAGAGTAATTAGTTTTCAAACAGGATCGTGGAGGTTGCAATTTCTGCTTGTGGAGGGATACTCTGTTGGCTGTCTCAAATGTTTCTACCCCCAAGCTTGGCAGAAAGAAGCCTCTAGATTATTGATGGGTAACGGGGAAGTGAAAATTATTGCTATCAATGACTTGAGTGAGGATTGGGGTTCACCACCTTTGCGTCATTCCAGAAAGATGAGAATAATAGGTGATCATGATTCTGGGAATTTCATGCCCATAGCAACGCCACAGGAAGCTGAGGTCGTCAGAGGGGCCAGTTATAACACACATTCGCCAACTCCTCCAAATTATAATGTTGATCTTCAGGATACAGAGATGACGATTTCAGGGTCATGGGGATCTCTTGAGGAGAATGCACGAGCAATATTTCATCCATCAACACCTCCCACTTCCACAACCGACATTTCCCCTGATCAAAGATCAGACCAATAATGCAAACTATGTCAAACGTGAAGAACACATTCAGCATTTTGAGGATGAGAAAGTGAGACTCGCTAACATGAAAGACATTTATGTGAAGGTCAAGGCCGAACCTGAAGCGTCTCAGCAGCCTCCTAAATCGCTTCAAGAGGAGGCCTCTAGACCTAAGGTGATGCTGCAGAAGGTAGAAGACCGGATAGCTTCTTGGGAGGTGGAGGCAAAGGAGATGAAGACTCGTCTTGGTGAGATCAAAGCAAGGATGATGGAGGCTGAGGAAAGCGTCAAGATTGCAGCTGAGCATCAAGCAGACACTGCAACAATACTTCCAGTGGAGGGAGAATCATCAAAGTAAAATATAGTAATGATAGTACTGAAGAATGCTAAACTTAGACTAATAGGTAAATAGTATTTATATCTAAGCGTGTTATAGTGGGTTTGCTGTTAATCATGGTCTATGGAGTGCAAGGTGTCTTTTGTTTTCTGTAGGGTATATCTCACGTGACCCTGAAAGACTTTCGGATGTTAAAATGGCAGAGGCTGTATGTAAAATAGTTGCTATCTGGCTTTTCGTGCCGAAAATGAAACCCCTTGTTTTGGCTCTTTGCTAATGACATGTTCATTACACCTACACGGAAAACGCATGGCCCACCATTTACCAGCACATGTGTATATATATATATTCTTGTTTTATGTGGCTCCCTATTTTGTGATATTTAGCAGGTCCATCTTCTTGGCATGCATTTTGTTCAGTGTCTCCCCTGCGATGAGTTTTTGACGTTATCATTTCCTAAAAACACTCAGCCCCAGATTGTTGGCAAGAGAAAACAACAAATTTTTGAGTTTTATAGTCACTTTTAATTGTGATAGGATTTGTAACCATTGTATCACATTTTAAATGAACTTCATTCATATATCATGCCAAGAGGGTATTTGAATAATTGATGAATTGAATAAAATAGAAAGTCAATATTATTCTAAATTACTGCTAGTCAATGTGACTCAAAATCAATAGCGTTAGCATCAAAATTAAAAAAATGAGAGAAATTGATTTAGATTGTAGAAAGAGAAATTAAGAATGCCTAGGTTTTGATTTTTATAAATACCATCTCTGGTCCTTAATATAAAACTTTGTTTGACTTTTATTTTGATCATAATTATAAGACTTCAATATACTTTGTCTTTTATATTTATCCATTTTTTTCCAAGATAGTCTTTCTAATAATGATAATTCTAATCAATAAACTTCATTAGTAAAAATATTTTACGAAAGATAACACTTATTTATTACAAATAACTAACTTATTTTTTTAATTTACTCAAATTAGTCAATAAACTGTTATATTTAGGACCAGAGGGAGTAGTTATCTATGTTTAATATGATAACATAGAGACTTGTGCCACAACAAGTAGAGTATGTTCTTTCTGTCAGCTACCTAGGTGAAACTTTTTTTTATTCTTTAAATATAAGCATATGGGCATACTTTTTGGATTTGATTAGGTTCGGTTAGAGCCTGGAATCAGGGCCGGGCTGGCCCTGGTAGGTCCGGCCGTCCGGTGACACTACCATTTGTGAACTTGACATAAATTTTTATATTTAGTACCACTCCCATCTCCGTTATAAGTTACTTGTAACTGATTTTTACATTCTAAAAAATGTATTAAATTGATAAAATTTTTCAACTTTATTCTTATTAAAAAAAATTTCTATGCATTTACAAATCATCCTCACAGCTCTCTTTTCTCTTTTCAACAAAAATTAAATAAGATAAAATTTAAAAATAATCATTAAATAGAGTATACTATAAATGGCTTATATTTAGGATTAAAAGTAGCTATGGATATCCGGAAGTTTGTTTTTGTGCAATTTTGTTGTAGAAGTAGTAAAAAAATGTAGTAATTTCACTCTACCCTAACTTGTCACTTGATTCATATATAATGTATCAATTTATAGGTTACCTATAAATATAAGAAGCAAGATGAACTAAAATCTTATATTTAGAATCAAATCTAACTTCTAATTAACTCTTATATTAAGTATAAAGAGTACTCATCTATATTTTTATTAACTTTTTGTTATAGATATAACGCTTTTTTATTTTTTTTAATATAAAAACTAGACATATATTTATTTTACATGTTTCGTGGAGCTTTTGAAATGATCACTCAAATAAATAATTTTAAAAAAAGTACTATTTATAAATTTTCTTATATTTTATGTTGATATATTATCTTATCCTAAGACGCTATATAAGGCGCCACATCATCATCACACTAAAAGAAAGAAACAAAAGAAACCTCTTTCTCCTTTTATTATCAGCATCCGAGTTTATGAAAACATGAACAATCAACAAAAATAATCATAAAGCTTGATTAACAATTATTAAATACGTAGATGAAAAAATAAATCTGGAAAAAAAAGAAGCTTTCCCCCTCCTTCATCATCAGCATCCATGAACATTCAACCAAAAAAATAAAAATAAACTAGAAATATCTTTAACCATTTGGTTAATAAAGGGTACCAAAAATGATAAGAAAATATATTGATATAAAATATAAAAAAAATTTATAGGCAGTACTTTTTTGATAAGTGATTATTTACTTGAGTGATTATTTGAAAAGCTCAATACAATATATAAAATAAACTATGTCCAATTTTTACATAATAAATAAAATTAAAAAATAAATAAAAACATGTATGAATACTTCTTATCCTTAATATAAAAATTAGTTAAAAATTAGATTTAATCATAAATATGATATTTTAATCTACTTTGCTCCTTATATTTATTCTTTTCTCTCAAACCAATTTAGGTAACCTATAAATTAATATATTATATAAAAAGTCAAGTGATAATTTAAGGTATGATGAATTGTTACATTTTTCACTCCTTCCGGCAAAAAATTGCGCCGGAAAATTTTTCTTTTTGAATACCCACAACTTTTTAAAAAAAAAATTTTAGGGCAAAAATTCTTTTTTAACTCTGTCAATTAATATTAATCGTTCGGGTACATTAAGACAGGACAAACATGACAAAATTACTACGTTTTTAGTATTTCTGAAACAAAATTGCATCAAAAAAATTTTCTAAGCTTCTTTTTAGAAACTTTCGGATAAAAAATGTTACTCCTTCGATCCTAATTATAAGACCCAATTAACTTATTTGAGGAGATTAAAGAAGTAAGTTAAGTTGGTTATTTATAATAAATAAGTGTTGTCATTCCTAAAATATCCTTGCTAATTAGGTATATTGGCTAAAACTATCATTATTAGAAGGATTATCTTGAAAAAAAATGTATAAATATAAGAGACAAAATGAATTGGGGTCTTATAATTAAGACCAAATAAAAAATTAAATGAGATCTTATAATAAGAACGGAGAAGTACATACACAAGTGCGCGCACACGCGCGCGCGGCATTTCATAGTACACGACCCGTCTATCGAGGGGTGAATCGGATCCAGGGTGGATTCTTTTTGATTCTATAAGTATGATTGCATTTTAACTAACCATGTGCCAAAACGTGTAGACGAAGGAAATGGAGTCCCCTCTTTCTCCCGAACCCACTCCCCACTTTCCAGTTCCTCTGCCCAGCACTCCCATCCAGTACGATCACCGCCCAGTTCAAAGAACTCAGCTTCAGACCGATCGTTGCTTCGGATGTAATCAAGCAGGTCATTGGATCCGCAACTGCCCTCTCAAGAACAAATCTCGCTCACAGAACGCTCAAAATTCAAATTTCCCACAGATTTATTGCCGTTGCGGTCATGGGCTTTGCGAGGTCCGAACGGCCAACAATGATCGGAACTTTGGTCGGAGCTACTTCGTCTGCCCCGTCAAGAGAGTAATGTTATGAATCTTAAAATTGCTTTTCTCTTCTCTACTAATGCTTGCGGTTTGCTCAGATTTCTGATTGCTTTTCCTTTTTCCCTTTCTTTCTCTCCCCCTATACTGTGTCAAATGTTTATTCTGTTCTTAGGGCAAAAGATGCGGGGATTTTTTTGTTAAATGGTGTGATGATCCTATTGATGACAACGATTTACGTCCTCCTCTGTGTAAATACCCTACGTGTTCTTGTGGTGCCGGTGTGTGTAGGAGAATAAAAGCGACCAGTGGTTCTTATAAGGGGCGTTATTTTTTTTCCTGCCCCATTGAACAGGTATGCTATGCTATTAGAATTCATCAGTTTCTTTTGTTCTTTACTTAAATTTTTCATTTCTTCTCTCTCTCTCTCTCGTGCTAGTTGTGTTTTGATTGTGTGCATATGCTGTTTAACTCGATGCTGGTCTGTTTATGAGTGGTCCCGAGTTTATAGCATTTATTTACACTATTGAGCAGGTTGGGTATCTGAGTCTGGAGTGATAACTGTTAGATTTTTGGGCTTGGATCCGCCCTTGGGCCGGATTATTTGACCGGGTATAAAGAGAATATATCAGTCAAATATCCAAGCGATATTGTGATGCACCCTGAATCATATCCAATCGGTTACGATATAAATCTAATTAATTTATATTAAATTAATTAATTTATATTGTGTAGATTAAATATATATTAAGTATATATATTTAGAATTAATTGTGATTGATTCTGGATTTAAATTCAAATATCATGATATTATGAGATAAGAATATATTATATTCTTATCTCGGATTTTATCTGATGGGCTCAGTGGATATTTTTATGCTACCCAAAATATCCCTGACAAAAGCTATAAATAGAGACTTCCCCCGTCAGTTCAAATCACTCCAGTAGTAGAGCTTTCCTACTATCTCTCTCTCTCTTATTTTCTTTCTTGCAAAAGAGGTGCTCTGCTGTGCACTTAAAAGCTCAGACTTTTATAGTCTAGCTTAAGCGTGAGCTAAGAAGATCCGACAGACCCGACCCGAGATCCAACCCGGTATGTTTTCGATCCATACTGAAATTTATCTTACAATAACTGATCACAGTGTGTTGTTCTAGATTCTGAGTAACTTTCCCAGCTTGGTGTTTTAAATTGTTGGCAATCGAGGGATGAGCTTGAGATTCTGTAACCGCCATATTTGTATGATCTGAAAGAGAAAGTGGGCGTATCATGGTATACCGGGAAACCTTTAGCACGCACATTAACATCTGAAGATTTAATGAGCCTTTGGCTCAAAATTGTAGAATGTTTGTGGTAAGCTATTGTGCACTGGACAGTATCCTATACAAAATGATAATGTGCAAATGAATGCCTTTGTTCTCATTTTTGAAGACCTAAGTAGTGATAAAACCTATAAATGGACAGTAATTGAAACAAGCAGGGCTTTTGCTGGAGTTATACGCTGTTCATATTTCAATCTGGGGTTAAGTAGAACCCTCTGTTTACAAAGGCCAGGGCTCTGGTTGTGAAATACAATCTCAAGACTCAAAAAAGACACAACACTAAAAATGAAAAAATTAAGATGTAAATTTGCCCCAAAAGTTTCAGGAGTGTTGGGTACTCAAAAATATTTTTTTTTTAAGTTCAATATGATTCCGAAAGTTTAAAATCGTAGCAATATCAACTTGTATCATAAAATATGTTAATAGTCAATGTTACTTTTTTAACAATAGCGGCCGACGTAGCTATGATTTTAAATTTTTGTGGTGGTATTGAATCATAGAAGGAAAAGAAAAATTTCAGGTACCTTGAGTGAAAACTTTTTGCACCTTAGCCCAAAATAAAACCGCTACTTTAATGCCACGTATGATGAAGAATTCATAGCGTCTGATACAGAAGATTGTTTCATTTTTCATGTTTGGTGACAAATAATCTTGGACTTCAGGAGATAGAGTATATAATAAGTATGATTTCTATTGCTCTATAATTTCATGAATCCCCCCATTCTGTAGAATTTATAATTCTTGGTCCGCTATAACTTTAGGACCATTGCTTCTGCTTTAACAGAAGAGTAAGTTTCAAACAGGGTTATGGAGCTTGCAGTTATTTGGTGTGGGAGGATACACTGTCGGTTATTCCAAATGTTGAAGATCTGGATGCAGACGTCACTCCAAATTTTGGCGTCCTTCAGAATATGGACATCGATATTGACACTGACATTACTCCAACTATTGATGACCCTCAGGATACAGACATTCCAGATATTGATGATTCTGAGGATATGGACAAGAAAATTTCACTGTCACGGGAATCTCTTATGCAGAATGCGCAGTCAGTACTGCATCCATTAAAATCTTCCACGATCCACGATCCCTCTTCTGAAAAGCACATCCAGCACCATGAAGAGGAAACGGTCAGTTTTGCTAACATTTCTGACAACTGCATCAAACCTGAGGACGCTTATGTCGAGGCCAAGGCCGCATTTGAAGCATCTAAGCTGCGTCGTCAATCCCTTCAAGAGGAGGCCTCTCGACTCAAGATAATGCTGCAGAAAGTAGAAGGTGAAATAATCTCATGCGAGCTCGAGATCAAGGTGACCGAGACTCGTCTGGGTGAGATTGAAGCAAGTATGATCGGGGCCTGAACAAGCCATAGGGACAGTATCTTGATAAGCAGGCACTGCAACAACTGGTGGAATCCTAACATATCAGGGAAATGTTGCTCTATATCTATGTATGTTGTACAAGTAATAATGAACTGTTCTATATCTATGTATGTTGTACAAGTAACTAATGAAAATTATGTCATCGGTGGTTCAACAAAGCAAAGCAAAAAAAAAAAAAAAAGAACTTGTGCGTCTAACTGGAAAGCTGTAAATTATGTGTGTTAGTAAAGAATCAAGTTGTAAACTGTAATGTATAACTGCAGTTGCTGTAAATTGTGTTTGTAATGTATTTTTATTTCCGTAGGATTAATCTCATGCTTATCTGAATCACCCTGTGTCTTCAATCTCCCCTTTCACCTCCTCCTTCTTCAGCCCGGGAAGATCGGCCCTCAACACGTGAGCTTCTGGCGTCTCCTTCCAATCCACTCGAGTGCTCACGAATGCAGAGCTTTCCGGCGAAGCAGAAGGCAAAGGGAAGCCCTTGAAGGGGTCCCGCACATCGAGAGAGACGGGATCGAAGATACTGCTCCTTCGTCCGCCAAACAAAGTGGGGATCAATGACATGTGTTCAAGCTCGAAAGAGATGTGAAGAAGGGAAAGTGAAGAGAATGTTTATTGTACATTGCTTTTGTTTTGTTTAACGTGATGCTAAGTTCGATGGATCGGTCGGGCATTTAAAGTGAGAAGAGGGATTATGTAGTCTTTTCAAGTGAACTCTTGAAATTGAGTCCGCATTACATGCTCAGCGGATCTATGAGCACCTTTAGCTCATCCCCCAAATCGACCTGGTTTGGATTTAAGTGACCAGCGTTTTCTTCTTTTTTGCCCTCCTTTTCTCTGTGTTTGATAAGGACCTCATCCTCATCTCTCTTTGCCCCTCGTTAGTATACTTGCCCTTTTTTCCCTTGCAATTTTTCTCTTTCTCTACCATCTACAGCTTATAAATCTGAAGCACAACTCACCATTAAGAAAATTGAAGCTCGGAAGGTCCATAACGGAGTTGTAGCGATGAGTCGTCCTCTATCCCTCAGCCTTTTGATCAAACACATGGTGAGCTATCACTGCCAGAAAACGAGTGTCACAATAAGAGGGCTAGCAAGAAAAGGGTCTTCTTTCTAGATGTTAATCCTCTATGCTATGAAGGAAACACACCCAACTGGTACTCTTTTTGGTTGATGGGTCTCTCTTTTCTCTCTCAAGTCAGATGCAGCGCGACCCTGTTATTGCTGTAATCTATCTCTCTATCTCCATACATTCTAATCCAAGAACTACCATGTGGTTCTGCGAAATGAGCCAGCTTGTTCGATGATAAAAAGTTACGGTGGCAAGGAAGTGAATTCGAAGCAAAGAGAGAAGAAGAAAAGGAGGAGGGCCAAAGCCCAAAGGGAAGAAAGCGCCGGTCGCTGAGTCACTTGGCTTGTTTGATCTTATAAACACTTTCATACAAAACGAAACAAAACTTTTTTCGCATACTTGCCATTACAGCAAAGTGTTCATGGACCTCTGAGCATGCAATGGTGATAACTCCTTGAAAGAATCGTCCTTTTATTTTTATTTTTTATTTTTTAAAAAAAGCCTGTGAGGGAATAGTCCAGATTTTTTTTTTTTGATATTACTTTCACCGAGGATTTTTTTTTAGTTAAACCATAATATTTTCAGTCTTTATAATCTTATTTAATTATCAATTTTTTGGGCCAAAAAAATTAAGAATATAAATTCAATTTGGATAAAAAGTTGAATTACTTTCATCGTATACATTTATTAAATGAGGGAGAAATTTAAAATGTATTTGTTGTATTAGGTTGGAAATGAGCTTTTAACCATTTATCTACGTTGTAGGTCCTAATATTTTTTAGGGAAAATTGTAAAAAAAATCTTAAAAATAAAAAAATTACAAATAAGGACACATTACAATATTAGTATTGGTTTTGTTTTGATAATAATTGATAAGCAAACAATAACAATTTTTATGAATCGAACTCTATATGAAACTTTTTTAATTTTCAGAATTTATTTTTGCAATTTTTTTGTCTTCTAGTCTTCCATTATTAATCTAAGACTTATTTAATTAATTTGACTCTATTAAAAAATTAATTAAATAAGTTAATTATAACTATCATGGCACATTTTTCAAAAATATCCTTGTTTTTAGGATTTGCAATTTCACAAAGTTTTCATCACAAAAAAAATTCAAAATGATTTTTCAAATCGTCCTGAGATGCTTGTTTACAGATTTAAAATGAATTTTTTAAATGCTTAGAAGTATTTTATTAAAAAATTAAAAAATAGTATAAATTCAAGAAGAGTATGTAAACCAAATGCATTTGTCGGTCCAAATAAAAAAACAAATGCCTTTGACGCACTACAGAGGTGTTTGGATAGAAACAAAATTATAGTTTTAAAAATACTTTTACAGTATACGAAATAAATATATAGAAAAATTTACTTCGATTTACAAAAAAGTGTTTTTGAGGTGTTCCAAACACCCTCTACATCGTCAAACTAGTTAGCAGAGTTCAATATCTCAACCTCATTATCGAGAAAGTACAATGGCAACTAAATAAGTTAATATTTTTAAAGTAGTCTTTATACTGGTTACACATGGTATTAAATATTTTATCAAACGATAGTTTTGGGTAATATATGCAATGAGTTAGGATATTTTAAGAAAAATAATACTTATTGATTACAAATAACTAATTTAACTAAATTTTTAATTTTTTTAAATTAATCAATTAAATCTTATATTAAAAATAAGATGTAGTGTTATATTTAGGTAAGGTTTAAGGCTCTAAGCTAGTGTTGAGGTGACATGGATGTATGTGTACTTTTTTTTTTTTTGGGATAAAATTTCGACAATGCATAAAAGCCTAAGGCTCAAACAAAATGAAACCCCTTCTGGTCAAAAAAAAAAAAAAACAAAATGAAACCCTGAGTCCAAAACAAAAAAAAAACAAAACAAAATGAAACCCCGACGCTTTAGTACACAAGAAAAACAACACAAACGTCATACCTTAACCTAGGGCTGTGCAAAAACCCGGTGGTCCGGTATGGTCCGGTCCAACCCGAACAAACCCGGTCCAGTCCGGTCCAGAAAAAATTGGCCCGAAATAAGACTGGACCAGACTGGACCGGACTGGTCTCATCGGGCTGGACTGGACTAAGGACTGACCCCTCAGACCAGTTGGTCCAGTCCAGTCGAGCCCGATTTTTTTAAATTATTATTTATATAATTTTAATTTGATTTAATATTTCTATATAAATTTTTTATCTATTCAAATAATTAAGATTTATCTATTAACTTTCGAAGTAATGAGCATACATATATATTTTCTACAATTTAAGATCTATATTGATGAGGATTAATTCATAAAACATGACTTCATTGGGAAATTGAAAAGGAATGATCAAATTTGATAAATTTTGAATTAAAATATGTGCAAAATTTTATATAGTAAGTTACAATCTCGCTTCCTATCGAAGAAAATTTTTTTTTTAAAAAAATAAATTTAGGTCTCTGGACTGCCTGGACCAGTCCAGGCAGTCCAAAGGACCAAGTCCAGTCCAACCCGACCTCGAGTTGGCACTGGACTGGACCAGACCTCGGGTTGTTTTTTTCAGCCCGAGGTCTTTACTGGACCAGACTTCGGGTTGATGACAAACCCGGTCCAGTCTAGTCCATGCACACCCCTACCTTAACCTAGAAAAGTAAGAAGGAAGCTAGGCGCGCGGCCCACCACTAGAATGGACAAAAAACTCCGGTAAACATGCGGTAAATAAGAAATGGGGATCATTGAGTCTGTCATTGGTCATTTAATGGCATACTTTGCATAATACTAAACTATTATTTAATTAAATATTTAATATCTACAATTACTACAAGGGTTACTTTAAAAAAAATAGATAAATATGAGAGAAAAAATAAATTGAATTTTATATTCATGATCAAATTAGAAATCAAACTTAACTATTATATTAAATATCAGACGTAATAATTGATATCCTCAAGGAACTTTTGAAAGTACCTCATCATGTGCAACGTTTGCAAGGTTAAGAGTCCAAATACCAGCAACAACCGCACATTGACAACCTACAATGCCAAACTCGTCCAGATCGAACGCCACGAAATCCATGCACACCCACCGGAATGAATACTAAACCAAATTGATGGGAAATATGAGAATCAGAGAACTAACTTGATCAAGAGCGACGAAGAGGAGTCTTGATACTTACAGGCTTACAGCCACCCAACTCTAGCTCCCCACATCATGCACGCCCACTCCAGCCGCCAGGCACGCCATTCCCATCTTGGATAAGGGATAGTCTACCCAACAAAAGCGTCGAAAAACTGCCACCAACACACACACAAAAAAAAAAAAAAGTTAAGGTACTCTGAAATATTTTCTCAGATGCATTCAACGCTCTAAAATATTTTTTAGGTGAGTGCAGCATTTTGAGGTATTTTTTTGTCTTGGGACATCCTGTAACAAAAAATATTTTTAGATACTGGATGCACTTCAAAAAATAACTTAAAGTGCTGGATGAGCGAAAATATACTTTACGGTACTAGATGCATTTAAAAAAAATATTTTATCGTACTGAATGTACCATAAAATACTGTAACACACTGAATGCACTTAAAAAAATATTTTGAGGTGCTAAATACGTCTCGAGTCAAGAAGAAAATCACTCCCACCAAATATGTAACGCACTACATAAAATCCAAGCTTGGTTAAATCACTCTAAATATTTCACCAACTTCTCTTTTTGGCCAACTAATATTTCTCCCGAGACCTAGTTTGATTAGATTACTTTGACTATTTTACTTAATTTCTTCTTCTTTTTGTTTTTTAAAAATATTCTTGGCCACCAAATATTTCACCTACTTAAAGAGCTACATTTTGTTCCTTTGATCATTTTAACCTCCCCCCCTCTCACACAGAGAGAGAAAAAGAGTAAAGTATATGGATTTTTTTAAAAAAATTTTTTATAACAAATTCTGCAAATTATATAAATTATAACTTCCTAATATAAATTATAATTTCATAATATTAATAAAATTTTCTAAAATAAAAAAGTAATTTGTAGCCCAACTTAATTTTTTTTTTTATTGAAATCAAACTTAAATTCAAACCTCAACCAAAGGTTGAAAGGTTTCTTTTTTAATTTATCCACAAATTTATCTATATTTTTAACATAGTAGTTAAACTACACTTACATGAATTACAAAAATAGTGTAGTCTATTATACTCTCTCTCCACCCTCTGAATGTAGAATTTAGATAATTAATTTGTAAATATCATATCTCAAACGTATTGTTTTTTTTTTTAAATACCATATCTGAGTTTTATATATAGAGTCAAAATAAATTTTTCTACTAGCTTTCAGATTTAAGATGGAAAGAATTATTTTATGCTAAAATTAATATTAAATGGGTATTTTGATCACTCCAGGAAAAAAAAACTTTTGCACTTTAAACATACATATCTCATTTAAGTGCAGTGAGTATTATTGTCAATAGGGCACCTTGTCGTTAACACCTCTCCCTCACTCTCTCACACACAAAGCAAGATTATATAGACTGTCATTTTTTTTTTTGACCAGCATATAGACTGTCATTAAAGCATTATCAAGTTGTATATATTATATAAATTTTTATAGACAGTAAAGCATTATTAAGTTGTATATATGATATAAATTTTTATTTTCATGATATACATAAACTATTAGTTAAATTTTATATTTTACAGTAATGCTAATAAAATTTAAACTGTTTAGTTTTAGTTCAGTTTTACAAAAGAGTTAATTTTAATTTTAATGTAAAATAATCTGTATATAATGTCGAAATCATCAATATTAATATACAATATACAATATGCCGTTGTCAACTGTAGGTATATAAATAAATAAATAAATGTGATGTTTATTTGAAAACTTAATAAAAAAATATCAAATCTCATAATATAGGATTTATGAATGCTCCACATTCACCTCTTCATGTATACACTATACACATCCTCTTTTGTAGGATGACTTTTATTATTATTATTATTATTATTATTATTATTATTATTATTATTATTCAACTTTGCAAAATATTCATTAACGAGAAAGTCGTGATTGCAAATTGGCGATGTAATAGCCTAATTGAAAACATTTTTGCTAAATTGAAGCTTATTCCAAATCATTCAATGAATTGGATTCCAAGAAAAACCAATTTGACTGCCGATTGATTAGTCAAATTTATTTTTAAAAACTGTTTTTTTTTAATCTACCATTACTTCTTTTAAAACCGCTGAAAAGAGATGTTAAGTGTCAATAATGAAATTGACAATGCAGGAATTGAATGATTTATGTTTTTGATGTTGCTTCGTGGTTGTCATGGTTATGTTTCACGGTGTTTGTATAGTGTTTTATACAATTGGACAAAAAAAAAGTGTTTAATCATATATAGTTACGTATTTTATTTTTTTATATGAATTTATAATTAAATACTATTAGATATTAATATTTTATATAGTTATATTTCCGGTTTAAAAAACTTGCAAAATAGAGTATTAATAACAGGCGCACCGATGATAAAGGTGGTCTTGTTTACACGCGATCCTACTCTCCCTTTTGTGCACCACAGAAACAAAAAAAGTCGTCGTCTCTCTCATGCGCCTTTTTCGTCTCTCTTCCGAATTTGAAATTCAAATATTCTGCTTCCTTTATTATTAATTTATTTCGGAGAAGTAATAATAAATCCAAATCAAACACTCCCCTGCCGCTCTTCAACGGTCCCCTTTTTCCTCAAACGGCTACATTTTCTTTCTCTCTAACTTCTCATCTGATCCGAATTCAAAACTCCTAAAGCACTCTTGCAGATTGAGTCTCAGAAAAACCCATTCTCGTCTTCTCGGCAACATATTGACCGGAAATTTGACTATTCTGTGGGGGGAAACACAATCCGGACGCAAAGTAGTTACCTATCTTGCTCAGGTCAGCACTTGCATTCCGCACTTGGTCGAGCTCGCCGTCGGACACCGTTCACCGTCGTCAGCCTTGCGTTGCCGTCTCTGGCAAGTACTGGAGAAGTTTTAAACCCTACGAGTTTGTCTACTTGCAAAATCCGGTAAGATTGATTTGTTCAATCTGGCTTTGGATCTAGATTTGAATTTGTTCCCCGCGTCATCTGTTCCCAGCCTGGTTGTCAACACTGTGCCGTTTCTTGCTTTGTTGTAAATTTTACATTTTAATTTGGCTCTGAATCTGGTTCCGTAATTGTTTGAATATTGACGCTTTTGAATAAGGATTGAGTTTATTAACGCTTCAATGGTGTGTAAATAGCTATTATGCTTGTGCCCTCTTCTTTCTGATTACTAGCGACTTACTAGCTTGAGTTCAAATCTTCATTCTTCAGTGGCTAGGAGGAGTGGCCTGAATCAACTGACTCACGAAGGTATCTTCGTTAAAGTATCAGGAACAAAAATTAATAGGGCATTATATCAACTATTCACGTTTCAAAGATTTCAGTGGGGGCATCTGCTCTCACTGAGTGTAATATAGGTCCGCCTATGATCACCATCTGCTCTCACTGAGTGTAATATAGGTCCGCCTATGATCACAAGTCTTTTACTTAACTTTTTCCAGCAGCAATATCTCATGTCCTAGGAGACCATGGCACAATATGTATATGTCCTTTTAAGTGAACCTATAGTCTATTCTGCATTAATGCTTCTTATGACCATTTTACTAGTGCTCCCCCGTTGATTAGTAATTCTATACCAACAATTTCTCCTTGATGCCTGTTAAATTTGTCATTTGTCAATCCTTTTTTTTTTTTTTGCTAGAATTTTGTTTGATAGATATCTGTGGCTCGCCAATTTCAACCAAATCAGGATGATACTTTTTGTCTTGGAAGTTTCTTTTGCTTTGATTTTTTGAAACAATGAATGGACATGTCTTTGCAGATAAATACTCCAAAATGTCTAAATCACAAAGTGATCCGCTTCTGCAACTTGAAACAACATGTGGATCACTTCTGTATGAACTTCAGGTACGCATTAATGTTGCTTCACCTGTCCTACTTTTTGACCTCACTCGAATTACATATTTCGTTAACTACCCTATGCATTTATAAGGTCAATCTGAGATGTCATTGACTACCTTACATTAATTTTCCAAAATCAGATAATATGGGATGAAGTTGGGGAGCCTGACACTGAAAGAGATAAGATGTTGCTTGAGCTTGAACGAGAGTGCCTAGAGGTTTACAGAAGAAAGGTGGATCAGGCAAATAGGAGTAGAGCTCAGTTGAGGCAAGCAATTGCTGATTATGAAGCAGAACTTGCAGCCATATGTTCAGCAATGGCAGAACGGCCTGTGCATATTAGGCAGGTTGGAAAATACTTACCAGAGGTTACTATTTTGATGAAGATATTTTAAGAATAACTAATAGCTAATTTCCTGATTGAGATAATGGGGCTTGGGCCATGCATTTACAAATAATTGAGAAGGGACAAAAATTAGCAAAGTTAAATGATACCGTGGTGTGCTGATTTAATCATATTTCAATTTTATGGAATTCAGTTTTTAAGCTTTTTACTTGTTAATATAATCTTACGCAAAAGATGTGCACCTAAAATGGTCTAGTGTTCCCAGAAGCAGCAGTTAGCAACAAAGCGATCCCTGCTTCTGATTTTTGGGTTATATTTTTCCCCGTCAAGATTAGTTGTCCTTTTACATTACTGAAGAGGTTACTCTCTCATTTTTTTTCAGTCTGATCAAAAGGCTGGAAGTTTAAAACAAGAGCTTGCAAGAATTCTTCCAGAACTTGAGGAGATGCGGAAAAGGAAGTCTGACAGAAGAGATCAATTTAAAGACGTCCAAGAGCAGATATTAAATATCTCAAATGAGATCTATGGGTCCAAAGAATATATTTCTGCTAAAAGGGCTGTAGATGAATCTGACTTGTCCTCAAGGAAGCTTGAAGAATTGCATGCAGAGCTGCAGACACTCCAAAAAGAGAAGGTCAATTTATGTTCTAGTTCATCCAATTTAGTAATTTATTTAATTATTTACCATTTAATATTTAGTTTATCTTTTTTATTTTAAATTTTTAATCAAATTCTAAAACACCTTACTTGGTTTCTTTACGATGATCGCACTTACATATTTCATTTCAACAGATCGAACGTCTCAAGAAAGTCCAGGACCACCTGTGTACTTTAAAATCTCTTTGTTCAGTGCTTGGTATGGACTTTAAGCAGATAGTCAGTAATATTCACCCTAGTTTAGGAGAAAATGAAGGGCCTAAGAGCGTAACGAATGATACAATTCAGCAGTTGGCAGCTGCTATACATAATCTGCGGGAAGTTAAATTGCAGAGAATGCAGAAGGTAAAATGTAGAAATGAATACTATTCCTTCTTTGATGAAGACTTTTGCGCTGCTTCTTCACGTTAAAAGTAATAACTTGATTATGATCTGGCAGCTCCAAGATCTTGCAACAACAATGTTGGAGCTCTGGGACTTGATGGATACACCAGTCGAAGAGCAACAGATGTTTCAGAATGTTACTTGTAATGTAGCTGCTTCAGAATATGAAATAACTGAGCCTAACACCTTGTCTGTGGATTTCATTAATTATGTGAGTTATAGGCAACTGGTGTTTTAGACTGGACTTCTTCATTTTTGATGGTTCAGAATTCATAAAATAATAATTTTACGCAGGTTGAGGCAGAAGTATGTAGGTTAAATGAATTAAAAGCAAGCAAAATGAAAGAGCTTGTATTGAAGAAGAGAACAGAGCTAGAGGAGATTTGTAGAAAGGTGCATCTGGTCCCTGTAATAGATAATGCAGTGGAATTTGCTGTTGAAGCTATAGAGTCAGGTAACTTTCTTGTGTGACATTGCAGGACTTGAATGCAATTATTTCGACTAACCAAATGCCTGCACCTTCGTTTCTCATGCAGGATCCGTGGACCCAGCTTATGTGCTTGAACAAATTGAGCTTCAGATTGCCAAGGTCAAAGAAGAAGCTTTTAGTAGAAAAGAAATACTTGAAAAGGTTGAGAAGTGGTTGGCAGCTTGTGATGAAGAGTCTTGGCTTGAGGAGTATAACAGGGTTAGTTGTTTGTATCCTCCTTTTATATCTCTACTTCTATTATACCTTTGACCATAATTATTTCCTTTGTTCATTTGTCTATCTCTTCCAGGATGATAATAGGTATAATGCTGGGAGAGGTGCTCATCTTACTCTCAAGCGAGCTGAGAAAGCTCGTGCCTTGGTTAATAAACTTCCAGGTATCGATGAAGTTTACTTTTGAGCCATGGTTGTTGATTAATCATCGGATCTTTTTCCTTACGGCTTGAGATAAAGACAAGACAAAATTAAGTTTGAACAGTGGACCTGTAGATACTGTTTACTAATTGTATATTATTTTGTCTAATGCTGTTAATGCAGCGTGATCAAACTTTGTATGGGGATTTAGCCAATCTGGAAATGAAGCGCCAGTTCTTAATAATGCTAGCTTTGGCCTGAGCCAAAAGACCAATTGTAGACATCCAACAGGTCTCAGTGAAACATAGATGACAAAAATAAGAATGAACCGTGGACTTAAGAGAAATTAAAAAAGAAAAAGAAAAAGAAAAAAACCTATCAATTTTTCAATGGCATAATAGTGCTTTGCGATCAAATTTTATATGGGCCTTTAGCAGGTTGGCAATATTGAAATGAGATAGCTATTTTTAATATGTTGATGTCTTAATTCCAAAGAGCCAGAAGAAAACGCAATGACTATTGGACTAATGAACACCAACTCATTATGATCTTGGTGGACTAAATTTTGCTTCGAGTTTTCTGCTTCATGCCTTCGTCCATTGTATCATTTTGCATCTTTCGTATGAACTCTGGTTTTATGTGAAACGCTCCTGTTTTTGGATTATTTACAATTCATAACTACGATTTCGCTTTTATTTTATGTAGCAATGGTAGATGCTTTGGCTTTAAAAACTGTTGCATGGGAAAAAGAGAAAGGCATGGAATTTACATACGATGGTGTAAGTACGCTCTCCAAAAGTTTTTTACTTTCTTCTATTATTTTAAAGTCCCTTGATTTTTTAAAGTTAATCTACTTCTAACTGATTCCTGATACGTGTGGCATTTCAGATCCGTCTGCTTTCTATGCTGGAAGAATATACCATATTACGGGAAGAGAAAGAGCAAGAACGTCGTAGGCAGAGGGTATGCACCTCTTAGTGCATTGAAATATTTATTCTAATAAAATTTTCTTTAGACTTTGAGACGTGATGTATAAACTGGTAATTTTGAAACCGGCTTTGTTTTTCCTGTTCCAGGATCTGAAGAAGCTTCAGGGACAATTAATAGCAGAACAGGAGGCACTTTATGGGTCAAAACCAAGCCCTTCGAAGGCTCAGGGCGCCAAAAAGGCCCCTAGGATGTCAACAGGAGGTGCGGCTAGTAGAAGAGTCTCCCTTGGAGGGGCAATGGTTCAAACTCCAAAAGCAACTCAGTCAAGACCCATGAGGAAGACTGACATTGCCCACCATATTGACAATCACCTGGATGATTCTGTTTCATCTTTATCATCAGGTGTGCTTTGGCTTGTTGAAATAGCTCTTATCACGTTATCTATGAATCCTTTAACTTGGTTGAGTTACTTCAGATCTTGTGTTTCAAAAAACGCCTATATCATTTATGTTTGTTTACACTGAGTTCCCTTCATAACGCGTACAACTTAGAATTCCTGGAAGGCTAACATTTCAATGTCATCTTCCTAATGTGTATCTACAGTTAGAAGGGGATTGGATATTACCGGTGGTTCTGTGAAAAAGCAGTCATTTGGCGGTGGTGCTACTGGTGCCGGTGCTGTCCGTGAAATCCAATCGCCGTTGATGCGACAACCTTTCTCTCCCATTGCTTCAAACTTATCATCTAAAGCTAACATGAAGAACCCCACAGATGAACTCAACACACACAGTGAGAAGTTGCAGAAAACTATTGCACCAAACACTGTGCCATTCTCTACACCTTCCAAGGTAGCTCCGATTATGGCCGAAGACGAGAACAGAACTCCGAAGACAGTAATGCCTATTCCTTACCCATCCACACCTTCCACCGTGTCGGCTCCCATGAACATGGCTGTCACGCCAGCTCCTCCTCCTCCTGCCCCGGTTCCTCTTGCAGGTGACTTTGCTTCAGAGGTTGAATATTCTTTTGAGGAAAGAAGGCTCGCTTTCATTCTTTCATCTTGATTGATCATTTTATTTGTTGAGGTTTGGTTATCTCTTGTTATTACAATTAGACATGATTACCGGACGTTGTCGGAAACTAAATCCTCTTACGTTCTTGTTGTTCCCTGCTGGTGGTGATGGATGATGATAATCTCAAGTCAATGGGTGTAATTGGCTTTAGATTGTTGTGTGTTGTGTACATAGTCCACGACAAGTGGACGTGGGCTAGGATGTCAAAACTCATTACTAAAATACTAATGTGAGATTCTGGATTCCAACATTGAACTGAATATTCTCCTTCCTTTCTTTCTGGTCTGATTCCAATCTTGTACTAGCAAGAAACATGGCAGTTACAAGAAGCAGGTTCCTTGATGGATATACTAATAGAAGCACGTGACATGGTCTCACAAAGGGCGGATGTTATTGTTGTGTCCCTGTCATGCTCTTTCTTTAAAAAGAGCCAACATGAGCATGTTCGTTTTGTTTTATTATTTTTATTATTATTACTCTCTCCTGTTCTTCTTATAAAACACTTTTTAAGAAGATTAGTTGGATAATTCTTATTTCTTAATATAAATCATCAAATGAAATATTAATTCTTATTTCTTATAAAGCTTGATGCAAGTCGGGATATAATTTATGATGTTAAATATGAGTAAATTTTAAAACTGACTTCATTTTTAAACTAAATATGAGTAAATTAATGTTTTAAATAAGAATTGCAGGAAATATTTTGGATTTGGATGATGAGGATGAAGATTCCCTTATCCCTCCAGAAGTAAGTCAACTTTTTTCAAATCTTCTGTTAGAAAAGGAAATGTTTGGACAATTTCTGTAGTGTTTAGTCAAGTTGAAGAAGAACATGGTGTGGAATTTATTTTTTCTCCACTCCCTGCTTCACCTAAATTGATGCCCGGATTGCCAAGTATCCCCTCAATCACCATCCCATTCCAAACATGGAAAATTGCAGATACGTATATGCATATATGTATATGTATATATGTGTAATTCTAGGAGTTTCCTTTTCACTGCAACCTGAGATCATCTGATTGTACAGGAATCTAGCAAGCACGGATTTTTGAACAAGAAAATGGGGAATAAAATGAAAATTCATTGAAACGAACAAAACATTAAGCACTTCCCTTAAAAAAATTTTTTTTTTTACCCAAATAACTAAAATAGCTAAAATCATAATATAATATATTCTTCTCACCTCTCACCTGGATCAGAAAATGTTGACAAATTTCTTGGGAAAAGTTTAATTTGATCATGGTGTGAAAACAAGAAAGAAAAGAAAAAGGAAAAAAGAAAAGTACAGCTGGGGCAATTATATTATAATTATATAATATTGTAGTGTATATATATTATATATGGATATATTAATATATATGTGAGAGAGAGAGAGAGAGCATGTGTTAAGGTGGCAATAACAGTAGATTGAGGAGAGATTGGAGGGCAATTCAGGGGGAGAAAATTTAATTTTTGATGTAAAAACATAAATGAGAGTTCGTTGGTCAACTTTAATCTAAGTGAAAAGACAAAGAACTTGTCAGTAGTTGGGGAAATGTAATGGCTCCAACCGTAGCTTTACAGCTTTGAATATTTGTTTAAGGGGCTTTAAATAAATATATATTATATATGTATGCCAGTTTTATATGAAAAAAGGTATTTTCTTTCTTTTTGAAAAAAATGTATTTTTTTATTACATCCCATTTAAGTATCCCCATTCACAATCATTTATTAAATACCTTTATTAAATTTCCAAGACGGACGTGAACCTATTTCTTAACCAAAATTTATACTTTCAATTTTGCAAATAAAATATTAATTGTTAATTAATTTTATAATATTTAATTACTTTATTTTAAATTTATTTGTTTTTTCTATTTTTTTCAACTTTATTTATTTACTCCTCCTTTTCCTGCAAAACCCTAAATTCATGTACCACTCTGGAGAAATTATCCACCGGAGTTGTTATTTTTCTCTGTAATTGTAGAAATTTTTTTCCTCCAAATTTTGTGTTAATTTTGAAGCTCTCTGCGTTTTCTGCAATGGCGGAGATTTGATGTACAGTACTGCGTTTTTCTCGGAGGGCTTGCTCAACTGTCGCTATTACGTCACTAGTTTCTTCGTCTTTCTGACTTTTCTGAGAATACGGGTTGTAGTTTTCAGGTTTTGTGTTAGATTAATTAATTTTTTAGCTTGGACTTCATTGCCGCTCTTTCTGGATTTCACTTCCCGGCCATTCAAATCTACTTCTCCATTGGAAGGGCTTCTTTTTTCTTTCTTTGGATTGATTTTTCTAATTATTTGTGCGCTTGATGTGAAAGTCTTTTAATCTTCGATGGGTAGGGTTTATTGTTTTTGAGGTTTTGGTCTGCTTAGTTTTTTTCTCTTTATTTTTCGGTTTGATTCATTTAAATGGAAGAAAAAGATAGTTTTTTCGCTGGGCTCACCGTGAAGGCTAACGATGCTCCGGAAAGCCACCATGTAACTCCGAGCAGTGAAAACTATGGACTGTTTGGCGGGTCCACAGGTGCATCGCCGGCCCCCGCCCCCGCGCCGGCGCTGGCCACTGCACCAGCTCCGATTACGGCTCCAACTTCATCTCCAGCTTCAGCTCCGTTGCCAGCTTCAGTTTCGGCGCCAGAGCCAGTCAGCGTGGCGGCGGCGACGGGGAGTACGGATGTAGTAAAGAAGAAAAGGGGAAGGCCTAGGAAGTACGGACCTGATGGTAAATTAGCGTTGGCGTTGTCGCCGATGCCGATTTCATCTTCAATTCCGTTGACTGGGGACTTCTCAATGTGGAAACGGGGTAGAGGGCGGCCTATCGAATCGGTCAAGAAGTCGTTTAAGTGCGATTTTGAAAGCCCTGGACCAGGTACAAGTAGCTTTTTGATCTGCGGATTTAAAGTCTTGGGATTTTTATTTTTTATTTTTACCGTTTCATTTTTAACAGTGATTCGTTGCTTGACAATTTGTGTCTGAAAGCTCGAGAACAATAAATACAATACAGTGAGCTCTATCTAACCCGTAGTTTTGTCATTTATAGGGGTATAATACTGTGTCGACTGAAATATGATTTTTTTTTTTTCCTTTTGTTTGTAACGGGTTCTGGTATAATTATGTGGAGGAATAGCTGTTTTCTCTGATCTGGGTTTCTAGTGTAGCTTTATTTTGTTGGATTTGATTCATGCCTTTGTAGTAGAGTTTAAGATGGCGAAAGTGGACCCTTGGTTGAGATTCCCTTTAAGATCTGGAGAGAAGGTGAGGCGGACACTTATATTTTTGTGGTTATAATAAAAAGTGAGGTCAAGTTATCTCTTCAGGTGGCTTATGATTCTCTTTTCCCCTTTTATGTGGGGAAGATGGCATTGTCTCTGACCACAGAAATCACTAATCAGAGTTAGAATAATTGAAGGCGCCCGCGTATTCAATAGGTTCAGTCCTGTTGTTAGCTGATGTGACCGGTTTGCACAGGTCTGAAGGAAACTAATAATTATTATTTCTAAAAGGCTACCAAGTAACTGCGTTCAAGATGTTGACTTGGGCCCTGAGACTGAAAAATGACTAATCCCAGCAAGGATAATTCTTTCCTATTCGAAATAGTTATTATTATGGAAATTTTGTTCAGATGAGAATTTTCATCATTAATACAGGGTGAGAGTGGCATCTTAGAATGACAGTGTTTGTTTACATCTCAAATAATTGTAAAGAAATCTTGTTTGAGTTCACGAATCTTTTTGTCTTCCATGGATGAAATGCTTCTGAAAATCATTGAACATTACGAAGAGGCGGGATATGACCACTAAATTTTGTGTTAGTCGATGACAGATGCCTGGTAGTCTCGGGTGGGGAGCCCTTAAGGTGGTAGGACCCCACCCCAGCGCCTTTATGTGCTAAAGCAATGAATGAGTTTGAATTGAGCTTTGTCTTAATAGAACTGCCACTTCTGCTTCAGGCTGCAATGTCATAATCGTTTTGTTTTTTGGTATTACTTAAGAGATTCCTGTGTAAACGTGATTCCCAGAAGAGGACTAAATATCTCATCTCTGAAAAAAGAAAGTTAATGTCATCATTTCAGATTTCGCATAAACTTTGTTTGATAAACTGATAATTGCAATTTTGTGGTGAATCAGAGTTCATTCTGCGCCTGCCTTAATTTTCTTAGTTCACCGCCCTCATTTCCTATTAGGTCACTAACCACATGGATATTGATATCGTAGGTGATGGGATTGCATACTCAGTTGGTGCCAATTTCACACCTCATGTGCTTACTGTTAATGCTGGCGAGGTATACCGTGCATATTGCTTTTATGCCAATATCATTCTATGTTAATTATAGTTTTCCTCCTGTAACTTTGTTCATGTTTTGCTATACATACAAAATTTATATATCCCTTTCTTTCCTGTATGTTTTGAAGCATGTTTAAATCTGTATGCGCCCATTATTTGCTTGTGTTGACATCATTTGTTCGTAGGTTATAAAACTACTTCCAAAAATATAAAATGTATGTTTGCTTAGTAATAATTATTAATGATCTAGAATATATATCTAAAAAGTGCATTATTTTATTATTTTAGTAACAGATATAATAGTTCAGGATAGGCTGATCTTTTTAAAGAATGTTAAATATTTAATTGGTTTACATGGATTATGTCATAATGGCCAAAAGGGCTGTTTTCCTTATTAAAGTAGCCTACATTGCTTATGAAACAGTAAAAGGTTCCTGAGACAGGTTCAGAGGTCTGAAAAAACTAGATGGTATTATCAAATAAGTGATATAACCTTATTAAAAGCTCTTAATTGGAGGAATGACTAATTACACAATATTGGTGAATTGTGAATATAAAATTTATATATCTGACTAGGAGTTGACATATTAAAAAATATGCTGTAACATATTGGTGGCTGAGTTTTCACCCTCCTCATGCATCTGATCTTATATGTGGTGTACAGAATATTAACGTCTAATGTTTATGTTCCTGCGTCCTGGTTCAGGATGTTAATATGAAGGTCATGTCCTTCTCTCAACAAGGATCTCGCGCTATTTGTATTCTTTCTGCAAATGGAACAATCTCTAATGTTACACTGCGCCAACCAACTTCTTCTGGGGGTACCTTGACATACGAGGTAAGTAAGAGCCTACTTTCCTGTCAGATGGTTCATATTCACAGATCATGATTCAAGCTGCATGATGTGCAACGATGACACTTGTTTTAAATGCCGATTTTTTTTTAAAAAAAAATTAGTATGTATTCCTCAGGTAAAGTATCAAATTCTTCTGTATATACCCTGACTAAGATTGTGCAAGGTTTAATTATAAGCTAAAACAACCCTACTTGCATTGCAAGGGTTTTCAAAATTCTTTTTGAATGGTACGGAAAACATAGAAGTTATATGGATATGCATGTATAAAAGCACGAAACCCCATATGTCAGTTAAAAAACAGTATCAAGGACTCTACTTTTATTATGTATATTTATTGATATTGATATTTTCAGTTGTGACTTTTGCTGATGTAACATAAGTCCAACCGCTGTCATGTTTCCCTTTATGCGGGTTCCTGTTAACCCATCTTCCTGCTCAATGGAACTTATGGTGCTGTTTGAATATGTATTAACACACTTAGCTTATTTGATGCCTTTACAGGGGCGATTTGAGATTCTTTCTTTATCTGGTTCATATATGCCTTCTGAGAACGGTGTGTGACAAGAAGTAGATCTGGTGGGATGAGTGTCTCTTTGGCTGGTCCAGATGGGCGAGTTGTGGGAGGCGGCCTTGCTGGTCTGTTGGTAGCAGCAGGTCCTGTGCAGGTAAACCAACTGCTATTAGAGATGGTTGCTTTATAAGTATTTGCTATCAAATTTTCCCCGGCAGCATGATGTTTGCGGAGTCCTGAGTTGTAAAAAATGCGCACTCAATATACTCATTTTGGATAATTTCATTGTAAACACCAAAAAGAGCTTTACACATGTCTTGTTCATCGATGAAACATTCAAGCACCTGGTGAAAATAAGATGCCTGTTGAATCATTTTTTGGTCAAATAGTAACTTTATTAAGCACACTCACTTCACATTAGTACTTTTCTGAACTGCCTTTTGCACCAGGTTGTTGTGGGCAGTTTTCTTCCAGGCCACCAGCAGATGCAGAAACCCAAGAAACAAAAGACGAATCATTTTTCACCTGTTGCATCTGGACATTATAATCCCATCCCAGTTGATGAAATAAAAATCAGTTTCGGAGGAGTAAAGCCTATTATGACTCCTGCTGCATTTCAAGCAGACAACAACACCGCTTCTTTTAACAACGGCCAGGGCTCTAGCAACTCATCTGCTGATGATGCTGATGCTGATGATGATGATTTAACACTTTATCCTGAAAAGGACTCTAACCCCAGCCAAACAACAAATGCTGGAGTTGCATGCTAAACGATTTCACTGTAAGGTAAGTGGTGTCTGCAGAGTCAGCCACATACATCTAGGTTCACTCATTCTTGACATAAGCTGACAAATATAACATGTTGGCTAATTATGAAGACAAAACCTTAGCTGGATGAGTGTCGAGTTGGTCTTGACTCCGAGGTTGTACTTTGGTACTTAGGTTAGTTATGGGATCTCGTCTGCTAGATTTTCCATCTGTCTGTTCTGATGTTGTATCTCTAGTAGTGTTATAGTGTTTTTCTCTCATTTTTATTTAGTGGTATTATTGTGATGTAGGAAAATATGTGATGTCATCGTCGTCATCTTCCTCATTTGCTTATCTTTTAATGTCTGAAATGTGAGTGGATGGATGTGGGTGTTTCTGATATGCAACTTCTAATATTATTTGTGGTGAAAGGAAAAAATTGCGTTTCAGCTTCTCCCATGGTTCTTTTCTCTTTCTTCTTTGGATATCGGAACATCATCATATTATTATTCACTGACCAGAATGTGAGAAGAATAGACAGATTACTCACGCGTAAACATTACTACAATGTATTGCAGAACTAAACCATCATTTCTGCAGCAGCATAATTTGCACTGTACGATCAGTGATTTGTTTCGCAATTTATTCTATGCTTTTATCTAGTTTTAGAGTGTTTGACACTAATAAATATGATAACAATATTTTAAACATTTTAGAATAGTGCTTTTTTTTTCCCCCTTGATTCTTGATTCTTCATCCTTGCTTTCATACTTCAGCCAAATGAGAGAGACGGGATCTTCATGCTTGCATGAACAATAAACCAAGAAAAATTTTTTTTAGAAAGAACCTCTTCATAGATTAATGGATTGACTCAGATAAGCAGCTCTAGCTAATTGAAACATGAATAAATGTCTAACGCATTGTTAAAATTTGACTCGCTTGTTTATTTACTGAAAGCTAAATATGATCTCCAATCTAAAACCAAAAGTTTATACTCAATAGTCAAAACATTTTGCAGGATAAATGTCTACAAAATGTTATCCTGGGCATTGAGGCCTCACCTAATTGCTGCCTTCAAACCTTCAAACCAGTGTGCCTACAGATTCAAACCCATTCCCCCCCCCCCCCCCCACACACCCCCCCCCCTCCCAAATAAAAAAACAAAAACAAAAACACCCTCTGTGAAGTTGCATCTATCACGGTATTGCTAGCCCTTCGAGTCCCGTATTTGCATTTTCAATTCATAAAAATGAAATACAGAGGACCATTTTTCTTGAGACTGCTTTGCAGAAAATTTATTTTTATCAAGAAAGTAATCATAAAAGAAGATAGAAGGAATCTCCATGGATGCTTCACTCAAACAGCAAATGCCCTTTATGCCCATCACGTCGCTTTTTCTCCTTATCCATGTGAGTAAGAATATGCCATATTATCCTCAACAAAAGTGAACAAAACTCACTCTCCTTTGTTCAACTAAAGTGAAATTCTTAGTCTCTATTGTACAACAAAATTTATCAGCACAGTCTCACTACACACTGATATCTGAGTTATGTTTCAATCCTCGCTAGAAATTTGTTAAAGAAGAAGAAGAAGAAGAAGCAGATATTCTGATACCAAATTATGCGCTCAAAAATTCCGCTTTCCAGCCTTTATTTACTTTCTCAATGAACTCCTCCACTCTTCTCCTTAGCTCATCATCATCATCTTGTTCCTCTTTATTTCTTCTTCTACCTCTACCTCTAAATCTTCCTCATTGCTGCAATCATCAGCTGCTTCCTCCTCTTTCTTCTGATCTTTTGACATTTCCCTGCCTTCTTCTTCTGGGATATTCCTTAGAATTTCTTCTGGTTTGTGAGGTTTTTGCTTGGGTCCGGCCATATAGACAGGAAGCTCACTTTCTCGATCAAAAACTCAGCCTGAGGCTTCAGGTCCATCAAGATTATC